CACCTGTGTTGTCGGCACCATGTGCTAAAGGGAAGCAGTCTCTTCTCTGTACTTAGTGGATTTCACACCACTGTTGAAGATCGGCTCTCCGTGGGTGGATGGATTGACTTCTGGATTCTCAATTCTGCCCCGCTGCCTTGATAGCTGTTGGGGTCCCAACAGCAGCTATGCTGACCATGGTTGCAGTACAGGTTTTGGAACAGGGACTTGTGAGACATCCATCCTACTCTGTTCTCTGTTCAGCCGAAGTCTCTTTTTTCCACCTCCTTAAAGACGGAATGCCATGCTATATGGGTCAAGATGGCATTCTATTTGTCGATTTATTTTGGGTAGGCTTCACATGTTCACAGCATTACATCCTCCGCACCATGTCCTCCCATGTCTGTAGATGTCTCTTAACTCCTAGTAGCAGGTTTAGTAGTTTGCTCTGTATCCCTGGTTAGGTACCCACCCACCCGAAAGGGTTTTATTTTTTGATGGCTATTTAAATGGTCTTGTTTTTCCCAGTTTCCGGCTCGGGGTTCTCTGTGTCAGTGGCGTAAAGGAGTCTGGGTCTGGAAGGTGGGTTCCGCACCCTGCCACTTTGCCGAATCTTGCATTCCATTCTAGTCATGCTCTTGCCGAGTCTGAGGTTTTCCACCTTTATAACTGCGTCATCTGTAGGTGAGGGAGAGTTATGACCTCTTCCTTACCAACTCGACGCCTCGTATTTGCCCTTCTGGTCTTGGTTGCCTGCTGAATCAGCTGTTCTGAAGCTTCTAACGACTGAACAAAACAGATTCTTTTCAGACTTGGAATTCTGAGCACAGCCCAGAGTCTCTGGATGTCCTGAGGGCTCAGAGAGCTAGTGGCCTGGCCTGAGGCGACAGAGGAAGCCCCTGGCAGAACAGGGATGGTGTTGGAGACCAGGAGGATCGTCAGGAAGGCCCAGGAGGATGCGAGAAGCTGCTGACTCACTTTCAGCCAGGCCCGGAGCTGAAGATTAGGACAAGGCAGGCCCTTCCGGCAGGGCTATTTGCACAAGAGGCTGTGGGCAGTCACCTCCTTCCTGCAGGTCTGGCAAGCTGTCACTGCTGGCAGCTGATGCCAACCTAACCCGGCGACTTTGAGGCAGTGCTGGGAGCTGGGGGTACAGTGGTGGCAATTACACTGCCCCCACACCTGTCCCTGTTGGACATTTAGGGTAGAGGGTCTTCAGACTGCAGAGGGGGGATCCTGAGGTCCTATAAGGCCATGACCACCACGGCTTCTGGGCATCAGGATCATGGCAACGCAGAACAAGACGCTGGAGTCACAGCACCGAGTTCAAATCCAGGCGTGAGGGCAAATTTCCCTGACCTGGAAGGCAAGAGCCTTTGCAGGGAAGAGCTGGAAGGCATGTGTGCCCTCTTTGACAGAGCACTGCACTGGCCATGATGGCCACACCAACCACCCTCGCTCACACAATTCACTGTTTATTAGAAATCTGAGGCACCTACAGTGGTTCACAGGACACTGCGTGATGCGGGGGAGGGGGGCACTGGGCGGCTAACTGAAAGGTCAGTGGTTCGAACCCACCAGCCACTCTTTGGGAGAAAGATGAGGCTGTCTGCTTCTGTAGAGAGATCGACAGCCCCAGAGACTCTCAGGAGCACTTGTACTCTGCCCTGCAGGATGCTGGGTGGGAAACCACTGGACATCAGAGGGCGTGGTTGGAACGGAAGCCACAATGTCTCCCTGGTCTGCTGGTGCGTGGCTTCTGACCTGAGACTTCTCCTCCCACGGTTGGACGAGGGTCCACACAAATTCCACAGCAGTTTGTACAGAGCCGGGGCTGCGTGCGGAAAGCTCAAAACCTATCTTGGGGACAACCGGGGACTCCCACCCTCACCCCACTGAAGGTGAGCTCCACACAAAGGTGTACACTAGCATTGGCTACTTAGCATCCGCTGCACAGTCCTCGCGCTTGGGAGCGAGGCTCCACCCCCTCTCGCTCAGGGGACACAAATTTGCAGTTCCAGCCTGTAGGCAGTGTGATTGGGTCATACTGAGGCATGTGACCCCATCAGAGCCAATGAGAAGTCAGACTGCTTTGCTGACTGCACTCACACCGCAGGGGGATGAGCTGGGTGGGCTTAAAGCCCGTAGGCTCTTTCGGATCATCTGCTAGACTCTTAACACCACTGTCGATAAAATGTATCTGAAGCCAGCAGCACCGAGAACCATCAGAATCGGAACTCTCCACATAACTTCGCCAATGCCACTCTAGGGTAACAAGATACTTTTATGGATTTTTACATGCTAGTTCCTCTAAGACTTAGGTGAAACCTTACTCTGCTTAGGAAGAAAGCTTTCCTGTGCTCTGCAAAAGGTTGTTTGCAAGGACCACCCACCTCAAGGCCTTTACACTTTGAGCAGCAAGCACGGGTGTTCAGATGTTCGAATTGGGCGCCCTGCCAGCCACAGTGCCTTTGGAAGCTTCCTTCCCACACCTGGATGATCGCGGGCTGATCCGGGCTTCCAGCTCATGCAGTTCTAAATGAGCCAGCAGCATCCCCGTCTGCACATGTGCTACTCGCGAAGGTGCTGTTTCAAGGAATTTCCTGGCCCAGAAAATGATGGATGTAGCTCTTTTCCTCCTCCTTGAGAAACTCTTGTTCAGAAGGGGCCAGGCCGATGAAAACCACAACCGGGTCGATGCAAGGTTCCTGGGTGGTCCAAGTGGTTTGTGCTCATCCACTACTAATCTACACAGGTCAGTGGTTCAAATCCACCTAGCAGCACCCTTCATATCGAGGGTCCCGGAAGGCTCTCATCAAGATGACGGTAGCCGAGAAAACCCACAGAGCCCCATTCTTCTGGGGCTGGAAACGACTGAGTGGCCACTGCTTGCATTTTTCTACAGGATAGGAAGCCAGCGACTGGTCTGGTGGCTCTGTGGTTTCATCATGTGGCTACGTCCACGCAGAAACCCACACGGGACAAGGCAGGGCAGCTCTGCCTTAGCACCGCCCCAATCGGGAAGTGGTTAGCAAACAGATACATAAATGGTGCAGCCACTGGAGAGTCGGTGGTTAAAGTCAATGAGCCATCAGGCAAGAAGAGACTTCAGTGTCCAGCGCTGAGAAAAGCCCGTCTGAAAAGGCTACGTGCCGTGTGACCCCAACTCTCCACCATTCTGGGAGAGGCAAAACTCTGGAGACATGAACCAGAGACCAGCGGTTGCCAGGGACCGAGGGTGGCAGAGGGAGCATCACAAGAGGCAGACTACAGGGCATTTTCCAGGCAGTGAAACTATTCTGCATGACGCTGTCATGGTGGACACCTGGCCTTATGTGGTCATTACATAATTTCATGTCCACTTGATAAATAGAATGCAGGGGTGGAGTCCAGTCTGTCAATCAGGTCACAGCCTCTCTTCCTCCCTGGAGGCAGGACACACTCTCTCTCTGCTTCACCTATCTGTTGACAAGTCGGATGGAGCCACGCTGATGGCAGCCGGAGCCCTGGAGATGCTTCCACTGCCACTGGACCCACAGGACTTTCCACCCACCAGCCTGTGATCTTCCTGCATTGGGCATCATTGCATGTGCTGCGGGAGTCTGAAGAGGAATTCATGGACGAATATCGGACTGATGGACGTGATCTGGGCTGGGATGTTTTAGTGATGTATAATTACTTCTTAATTAGACATATATGAGTGTCAACGGGTTTGTTTCTCTAGTCTACCGGTGAAACACACCTTATGAAGCATCAAAACCCATGGAATTACAAGCGAGCATTGTCTAATTGTCAACTCCCATCGATCTAGTCAGCACAAAACAGCTCTCGTGTGACCTGAACTTGAGTTGGTATTAACATAGCAATATTGGCTTTTCCATGATACATAGGGAAAACTACAAAGGTCTGTTCAAAAAAGCCAAAATTACCACCCAGAATTAAAAGTTTGCTTCAGGAAAGGTGGTGGTGGGGGGGGGGGGGCATGAGTCCTTTCAGAGACCCCCACACTCCCAAAGTCCAAACTGCCATCAAGTGGATTGAGACTACAGGTCAGAATAGAAGTTCCCCCTAGGGGTTCCACTAGGAGTTAGAACCGACTCAGTGACCTGTGAGGGTTTGATGTCTGAATCTACAAAGGAGACAAGGTTCCCCGTCTTCCCTGCCCCTCCCCGCACAGATCAGCTGATGGGTTTAAACCTCGGAACCTGTGGGTTGAGATCTTACCGGATGGTGGGCTGGTCTCCACTCAGCTGCTTAAACCTCCGATGGAGCTGCTCAATCTGGTCAGAGGAGACTGGGGAGGAGGACAAACACTGGTGAGCGTCACCTGGGAGCTCCCAGGGAGACTTACCTCTCCCCTCTCC